CCAGGGTCAGTAGCCCAGTCTTAGCATGAGAGAGGTTGAGTGTCAGTGTCAGCTATCCTAGGGCCAAAGAAGAGAGGGCCAGCTCAGGGAAGAAGGGGAGATCCTATCTGGAGGATTTCATCTAGATGGTGTGTGAGACTGACTCAAGGCAGCCATCCAACCTTGGGCACTTGTGTGTGTATTTATATTATGTGTTGTCCTAAGGTAGCTGCTGCTGTGATTCTGTGAACAGCCGTCCTCTCTGCTTCCCGTGTCTTACAGTTCTTGGGGTGATTGGTAGTTTAAATATTAACTCTTCTCTTCTTTGGATTATACAAGGCAGTATATTGGATTTAAATATCCATCAAACCTCTGCTGCTACCTGAGGCTTGTAATGCAAAGAACATGAAAACCCAAACAAGACTGTGGAAGGTTTTTACTTCATAATACACTTTCCTTGAAGTCTCTTGAGTATTGGACACCATACTGAATTACTGTCCCTACATTAGGGAAGGGGATCAGTTAAGTCTAATGCCATTAATAATAATGAGAGAGGGGAAATGTTGTGCAGCAAAGAGTGGGAGTAAAAAGAAAACAAATCTGCTAGCCGGGGTATCTAGATATGAATTCTGTATTACCAACTTACTGTGTCCTTTTAGCTTTCTTCTTCATAAAATGGGTAGAATGGATGCATCATTATGAACATTTTCTTCCTTATCTTGTGAGTAATATCGAGAAAAAAGATTTGCAGGTATGTGCAAATTTGATGAAATACAGACTTTCAGTTGTTGCTACTGTCATTCTTTGCTTATGCATTTCTATGTAAATAACTTGAAAGCTAATATTTTAAATTATTTTTTATTGTAAAATAAGGGAGCCACAGGCTGAGACATAGTTGATTTTCCAGAGCCTCAGTGACAATTACCTTCTGAAAAAATATCCTTGTGTATGGACACAGGAACCACTGAGTGTGGCATAACCTAAGTTCCTATCAGTGGTCACTTGGGTGTGTAGGGTTGCTTAATGGTTAATATGATGTGTTTCATCTCTTTTATGTACACATATTGAGAAAATAAACCACAGAAATCATGAAATCAGAACTTTGGTGAAACTTATTGCAGAAGAACTAGTAAACACAGTGCATTGGAACTTGCTGGGTGGTGATGCAGGGCTGGGGGTGAACAGGAGACACAGGCTATTTGTTTATTTATTTATAATCATGTTAATATTTTCTTTTAAATATTTTATTTATTTCTGTGTAGAAGAGCTAGGGTATTGTGTGGGGAGTGAGAGGATTCACTAAAGACATAGTGGGGAGCAAAATAGGTAGGTTGACTGAAATCACTGCCATGGGGAGCAGTGGTGAGGCAGGAGTGGTCTGCTGTGCCATGTGGGTCAGCTCCCTGGCTAGGGATTGAACTCAGGCGATAGTGTTGGGCTATTGTAGTGTTAGTGCTGAGACTTAACCCATGGCCACCAGGGAGGTCTGAGAGGCAGGTTATTATAGGTGAATTGACAAGTGAAGGTAATTCTGTTTTGAGTGGTGGTGCATACAGGGCATGATAGAGTATTAGAATATTCATAGTTCTGGAGAAAATGGAAAATGTGAATATCTGAATAGAACTTGGAATCTAACATTCGTCATGTGATATAGGAAAAATATTAATAAGCTCTCTAAGTCTCACTTCTTAGTTTATAGAATGGCAATACTACCCACCCTTATGGAATTTAAAAAAAAAAAAAAGATTTTTTATTCATACAGAACTGGGACACAAGCCAGAAGTGCAGGGGTCATGAGAGGCTTCACCAGAGACAGAGTAGGGAGCAGAACAGGCAGATTGATGAACAACACTACTGAGGGGATCAGTGGGTGGGTCAGGGAGGGGTCTGCGACACCATGTGGATCACTTCCAGGGCTACGGATCAAACTCACACTGAAGCTACTGTGGTTAGCTTGCAGTGCTGAGTCCTAACCCATTGAGTCACCAGGGAGGGCCCTCTTACAGGATTTCTGTACAGATAAATGAGATTCCATAAAGCAACTAGTCAGTATTCAATAGAAAATGGTCACTATTATTGTGATTACCTGAAGAGTTCTTTTAAAACAAACTGGCACAAACTATGTTTAATAGCAAAGATAGGGCTTAAAAATATAGGAATTTATTTACCTTATGAGAATCTTTTCTAAACAGGGTCAGTACTCATTCTGTGCTCTTTATTGCAATCAGGAGGTAGGGTTAAAGCTGGTTGTTTTTCTATTTTAATGTGTTGTCTGAGATGATTCAGAGAGGTTCAGAAATCTTTTCTCTTACTTTAAAATTTTGAATTCCTTCTGTTTGTCTTAAAATAAGTTCCATTCTTCTAGAGAAAAATCTGTTAATGTTTAAAATGTCTAATAATGTAAATCTAATAGCCCACCACCGCACTTGTATGAGGACCATTTAGGAAGGCATTGGCCAAGTAGGCAGTGTCTCCTCAAGGCAATAAACTTTTGTTCATTTTGTGAGGATTTACACATTAATGAAAAAAGGGTGATCTTTTTGTATATTTACTAAATAAAACCATGGCATGTACTTTTAGCATAGATGATAACATGTGTTTTGAGAGTTCTCCTTTAAGTCTGAGCTGTTAGAGGCTTGTGCTGTGGTGCCTTCCATCTGCATCCCGCAGGACTTGCCCACCTTTGGGCTTGGACAGTCTCCAAGATAAATAACTATTGTCAGTAAAGTCTTTCTTTGCTTGTTTCTAAAGCTGTTTCTTTCAAGACCTGATCACTGACTCATGAGAAAACTGGAAAAAACAAAGCAAACTGAAACAAAGTTTGCTGTTTCAGTTTTGGATTTCAGTAAGTGTAGGGCACTTCCCTGTCCCCTAATGGAAAGGGAAAGAATTGGTTCATATTTTACTCAATTCCAATTTTGAGTAACTGAGCTTGGATTTTAGTATTTCTGGTTGTTTATGTGTTTTTTCTTCTTTTAAATTTTCTTACATTTTCATTTTTGCATAGTTATTGGTTTGTCCCCTCACGTATAGACCCCATAGTTTGTACTTTAGGATAAAATATGACTAGGTAAGTCATGCTAATGACAGCTCATTTTCAGAGTGCTTACTATGCCTCACCTACATCCTCTTACCCAGCCTCCAAGCTAAATCTCTCTTCATGAAGCAACACAAGGCTAGAGTGTGTTTTGATGCTTTCCTCTAGCAGAGCAAATACTTCATTAAACTGTTTTTCCCAGAAAGGTGAGACCCTAACAGTACACTTAAAAGAGACAATGAAACAGAGATATAGCTTAATTGCTTTACAGTTAAGAAAAAAATAGGAACTTGGGTTCCAGATCCACTCCCTGCTTCCTATATATAAATCAGGGAGTGGGTCAGATAGAAGATCAGGAGGCTGAAGGCTGGGGAGAAGTGACAGGAGAGATGACTTGGGATGTGAATTGGCTACAGGTCATTTAGAATAAGAATGTTGTTGTCTTCCATTTGCTTGCTGAACAGGCTTAAAATACTGTAGTGTTCTAGAAGTCCAGTTTATATAAGTCTCAAAGGGATGAGTGATGTCAACTAACCTATAGTTTTAACAGTTAATATATTTTCCTTAAAAACTGTATTAGATCCTACATTGGGGTCAAAATATAAATACTTATATATCTTGTCCTGTATTTATCTTTTTTTTTCTTGAAAATTCAGGAGAAAGTAGTAGATCTATGTGCAATCTCACAACACACTCCAAGTTATAATATCACAGGTATGTATGCCACAGACCTAGAACAGATGCAAGGAAACAAATCAAGATTGAACAATGTTTATGTTAAATACTAAACATACTACTTTTTTGAGATAATTTTCTTACCAGCCACCATCAATGTTTAAACTATTCCCCACTAACTATTCCCTCCCTCTTCTGCCCCTTTGGTAACCACCAATTTGTCTTTGTTCTGTTTGTTTGCTTTTTCTTTCCTTTACATCTCACAATGAGTGATATCATACAATATTTATTTTTCCTTTTGACTTACTTCACTTATCATCCCCTCAAAGCTGATCCATGTTGTCATAATTGATAACATTTCATTTTTATGGTTAATTAGTATTCCACTGTGTAGATATACCACATCTTTTAGTCTACTCATCTGTTGTTGGGTATTTTGATTGTTTCCATGTTTGACTGTTGTGAATAGTGCTGAATGAACATAGGGTGTGTATATATTTTCATATGAGTGCTTTCATATTCTTCAGGTAAAATACATTCCCAGCAGTGGGATTACTTGATCATATGCAATTTCTATTTTCAATTTTTAAAGGAAGGTCCATACTGTTTTCTATGATGGATACTCCAATTTTTATTCTCACCAACAGTGTATGAGGGATCCTTTTCTCCCCTTCCTCACCAATACTAATATTTATTTTTTTATAATGACCATTCTAATTGTTATGAGGTTAAATCTTATTGTTGTTTTGATTCCCATTTCCTTGATGATGAGTAATGAAGGATAGCATTTCATGTAAGCCACTCTACTTTTTAACTGGTAAGTATGTTTGGCTTTAGAATTTGCTATTTGGAAACTAGATTGCACATAGATCCATTGCACACTGATAAGGCTCCAGTATAAACCTTATAGGTAAGAGAGGTGATAATTTGTTCTCTCCCCTGGATGTTGTTTTTCAGAGGGTCAGGACATGAATAGGGAAGAGGATGTAGCATATTGGGTCTCTCCAGTTCCAAAGGTTTAGACAAAATAGAATGCTCAAGAATGCTTTAATAAATGTCATTATTATAAGACACACAGCTTACTTCTTCAAGTCCAAAGAACATAATACAGGCTAAAGTACAGTGAGAGTTTTGCTTGTATATAATAATTTCCTATAAAAAAATCCAGCAGCACAAGTGGCTGTTCAGTCTTTATCTTATTAGGTATTCAGAATTAGTACTGGAAATTTGGTGCTAAAGAACAATTCTCTTACTTTTTAGCAGAGTTCAAGTTAAAAGACCTCTTGAAGCTTATTGTCAGTCTATGAATTTATTGGTAATTGTAGATTTTTTTTAGCATATGAACAATGCTGTAAACAAACACATTTATATTCTTATAAGACATTGACACTCCTCTAGAATATGCTTTTCCCTCACTGATACTAAAATCAAATGAAGAGTTTAATGGTTCTTTACACTGAAACCAAGTATTGGTTTTCATCATGCGGGTAACATTCTTTGCCTTAGGGTCATATTCAAATTGCTTTGATCCACGGAAGAAATAGAAGAATCCTGGAGAGAAGGCATATAATCATGGTTAGTTACCTTGTACAGTTACACAAGTAACATTGCTTCCATACTGTTTAATTTTACAAATAGAGAATAAAATGATTGAACATAATGGAAGAAAAAAGAAACTTAAGTATTATGTAGATGTATTTTATTTCTTACTCTCATAAGAAATTGTATTGTTTTTATTTCTCTAAGGAAGAGGTCAAGGAATAAAATTGAGTTTCAAGGGGTTTGCTACCTTTCTAGGCAGGCTGTGGTTTAATGCCAGAGGTTCACTGTCAACAGAGTGACTCAATGAGAAGGAAGCCCTTATTTTCCTAGAACTTTTCTGCGTTACCTGTTTTAAGTGTTCAGGTTCTGTGTTAGGTTTTATTGGAATAAAAAAAATGCGTCACTCAGAAACAATTTTAGGCGCCTGCTGACTCCATGTGTAAGTTGCTGTCTTTGAAGATAGTAACAGGACTGATTAGTCCGTTACCTGGACTTACTAGACTAGCTTTTCAGAGCTTTCCTATACTTCTACACACAACTCCAAGATGTTCATATTAAATTACATACCCTGTAGTTTGAGAATCACCGTTCAGTTGATGCACTTAGTCATTTTTCACACCTAAATTGTCTCTTATGGGGTTACTTGGATCAGTGATAAGTAAACCTAATCTGTACTTTTTACATAGATTTGAAATAGCATAACTGAGGATACAACTCAGGACTTATGGATTCAGTTTGCCATATTGCCTACAACGTTATAGTTTACAATTACATGTACTCAAGGGTAGTAAGCTACATTTAAAGGGAAATATTTAAGATTTTGTGCTATTTTCACAGTAAAGTCTTCCAAGAATCTTGAGAGTTTAGCCATGGGTGGTTACCTTTATGATGGAAAACAGCATCAACTCGGAGACCAATTCCTGGGAAGTATTTTACCACGCGCTGTGGGAACCCTTTGTCCAAGGTTCTGGTCACTTCATCATACCTGGGTACATGAATTGGCAAGATTTCCAGGGGATTGTTGTTTGGAGAAACTTTTTTCTTCCGTCTAACTTGGGGTCACATGGTCATGTGGAGGAAAAAACAGGCCTAGTAGATAAAAACTATTTGCATCACTAAAAAATATGGCTAAGGTTGTGTTTGGTCGAATCACTGATTGTCTGTTACAAGTAAAAATGAGGTGAAAAGTTAGATCATTATTCAGATTGATGCTCTTTGAGGAAATATGTCATAGTAAGGGCTCAGCTTGACTTTTGCTGGATTAATTTGTGTCATTGGTAATTTGCTTGGAATGCCAGCTTTATTTAATCTTAATTATTCATGTTGGACAAAGATATGTGGACTCACTGGAATGTTCTTTGATTTGGTGGTGAATGTTTTCCACCTTTATCTTTTTGAATATAACTTGCTTTAAGAAAATTATAGGTCATTTAAATTTTTTTCTGTGTGAAAGTGTTCTGTAAATTTACCTCCAGCACCAAATGCCGACAAAGAAGTAGGTTTTTTTTGTGTTGTGATCACAGGCAGCTGCATCAATTTTCTTCACATATCTTGGAAAGCCAAGCATATTAATAGATTTGGGGTAATCTGGCAAGACAGCATAGCCTCTGATTACCCAGAACTTGTCATCTGGCAAGAAAGAAAGTGATTATTGCTTACCCTGTTTCCTACAGGGAGAAATGGATATCTTAAGAAGTTTATTTCCTCCTCAGTTTAATGCTTTGAGATTTAGTATCTTAGGTCTCTATTCATTCTTACCACCTCTTCAGTTGTTTATATCAGATACCGAATACAGTTAATATTAAACTTGCACACTCATATCAATTGGTTTCAGTGGATCCACTGCTTTTTACTAATTCTGATCAAACAGTCAAATCTGTTTGGACATATTCTCTTACCTAGTTCCCAAGTGTTCTCAAAGGCAAGTAATTTGATGAAGTCTATCTAAAGTTAGACTGCTAGATTAAGTATAACAGTTAAATTTGAATTCCAAATAAACAGTAACTAGTATAAATATATGCAAAATATTGCAAGGGTTATAGCTGTACTAAAATTTACTTGTTGTCTATATGAAATTCCAAGCGTCCTGTGTTTTCATTTGCCAAATCTGAAAACCCTATTAAAATGGGAATATAAAAGAAAGGAGAGTTAACTTTATTTGGCAAAGAAAGATGGCTTAATTTATCATAAGGTTTCTTTTATCTCCTGTGCTATTGGGATGGTATTTATCCTCATACTACAGACAATCCCTGGATAGCTATTCTTTATGATAGGACTCTAAAGCTATAACAGAAACCCTATCTGTTTAGCTCATACATGAAAATTATTTTCCTTGCATCACAACATACACTGATCAATTCAGACAACTACAAGGAGAAGAGATAATGGTGGCAAAGTTACCTTTAAAAACCAGAATCTGATCTTTGGGATTCTCATATGCAGCTTGAATATCAGTAGGCAGAGATGGCCAGAAGGAAGAGATTAATTCAAATTCAGCATCAGTAATATCAAAATAGATCCTCCACAGGTGCCTGTGTTAACAAAAACACTTTACATATATAGCCTACATGTATCTATATTCGTGGAAATGTTGCAGGCTAGTGTTGTCTTTTTATTAATTAGTTGGTATTTTTCTTAAATAATTGAGAGTATTAATACCATTTCCCTCAGAAAATTTAGGTTTGTAAGTACAGTTCTACCTTTGGACTACCAAGGGCATGCTTTTGTGCCACTGCTTTGGGTACACATTGAAGCCTTGAAGGTAGTTCTGTGTGGCCACAACAGACTTGACTTCACTTTCTTATGCAATGGTAATTTAAAACAATGCTTAAAAATAAATTGACCAGTAAGAAGTATATGCACATAGGAAAACAGTCAAAAAGCAGGAAATTATAAGAATTTCATGATGAAAACTAAAAGGCACACATTCTCACTACCTCCACCTTCCTCTTTATCCCCAAATCTCTTGGAAAGATACATCTTCATAGAAAGTTGGGGTATTTAAGGGAATAGGTTTACCTGCCTTTAAAGAACATCACTTCTCTGCGGAATGTGGTGATAGCATCAAATGTCAAGTCAGGGTCACAGGCATGAGGTATAGGGGGTTCCATTGGTTTAGCAGGTGACTTAGGCAGACCTCCTTTGATGAGAAAAGAAATAACACAGTGAACTAGGATGGTATGTGGAAATATACCTACAGAGGATCTTACCCAAGTGAGTATTTCATGATAATATTTCAAGAAGTGATTTTCTCAACTTCTTTCCTGAAGGCTTCCTATCTAGTTCACATGTATTCAGATTTATAAAGTTGCTCACCATAGATGGATTGGATTCCATTGATATCATCTTGAGAAAGTGGGTATTTGTTAGGATCCAGGGATACATAATTTGGGAACATCAAGGCTGTCTGATCATTGGAGTGAGAGAGCCCCAGTGAATGACCAAATTCATGGGCAGCCACAAGGAATAAGTTGAATCCTTCATAAAGAACAGAAAAAATATGAGTCTGTGAATCCATTAAAACTTTGTAGTTGCATCCAAGATTGGGAAGTCACTAAGGGAAACGAAGAAAAGAATGAAACTGCGTGTCATTCCTATAACTCAGGTGCCATCGCTTATCCGCAATATTTGCACACTAATGTCAGTATTAGCCACACCATGGAGAGCTATACCTGGAGTGAGCAGGTTGTAGGTAACAAGTGTCTCAGAAATGGATAGTCTCGAGACAATTTAAGTCATTGGGTTTTTGATGTTGCTAGGCTGTACTAGGGATCATTTCTTCTACTTACATTCAGAGCTTCTTGAATTCTTGAATGGCTTTAAGATAAAGTCCAGTGACCTTAACATGGTCTTCCATGAGCTAGTCTCTTCCTTTTCTCCAGCCCTATATTTTATTTCTGTATTTATGGAGCTAGCTATATTGGATCATTTGTATTTCTTGGCATGTTCTTTCTTATCTGTGTATCTTGATAGCTTCATCTCACCTGCCCAGATTATTTTTACTGCTACCTCCTTTTGCCTAACAAGCTTACTTTTTCCTCAGGGATTCCACCTAGTGTCATTTCCTTCACAAGGCTTCTCTTATTTCCCCAATTCTGTCTGGATTGAGTTAAGTATATCTCTTTGAGCTTCCATAGACTTAATTCAGCCATAGCAGGAACAAGCTGTTTGTTCCTTTCACCAAACTGTGTATCCTTTCATCACAGGGATCATGTCTTAATCATCTTTTATTCTTGGTGACTGCTAAGGTATTTATCAACAATGAGTGTTGTATAGTTTAGGCTGCAATTGCTGGTTATCCATGTGTTTATTTGGATAAAAGAAATGTTAGATGAACCTCCTGCACAAGACCATAGTACCCTGCATTTATGCTTACCAGAGTCTTACCAGGCTGCTGGAATTTTGCCCATTTTTTCTGTCTTTCCCACTAGTCTGTAAGGTTCTAAATATAAAAAAGACTGTTGTATTTTCAAGGGAAGACTATGGATCCTAAGGAAAAGACTGAGCCTTTCAAGACTTTGTGATGTGTGCACAAAGCAAACAAGGAATGGCAGAAGATTATTTTTTAGTCTTTCATGCTATTCTCCTCTGGCCTTTGCTGTGCTTCTTGTCTGACTGATAATATCACTGGATGTGCTTCCAGACAAGTTAAAGGACAAATGACTCTTGGAAAAATTGTTCAAACTCATATCTTCTAGTGAAGTTCAGAGTTTCAAGACCCTTTACAGTTGGATTCCTATTTGCCATTTTAGCCCTATCTTCTACCATGATTCTAATACTTGAGTGGCTGGGTTACTCTGTCCAGAACACTCTTTGATGCCCCCTTTACTCAGCTTTGCCTTCTGAGTTGCTACTAAACTTTCAGGTCAGCATGTGGGTGGCATTACTTTCATGTGCTCCTACTGCAGGGCTCTAATCGCCTTAATCCCAGCATTAGTAAGGCTACCTTTAGTTGTTATTTGATTGATTATGTGTGCCCCCTTAAGGAAGCATCTGAGTCTCATTTTCTCCACTGTCCTCCACTATTGCACCCTTGTGAACATTTTTTCCTCTGCCTGGAAATCACTCTGATTATCATAAACCACACTCATAATTACCAATCATCAGTGCCACTCTCTGAATATGCACTGTGGGCAAGTACTTTGCAAGGTGTCTTCACTTTTATTGCTGGTAACCTGTGTAATCTTTCTGTAAGAGTGGGATTAGTATCTGTGTTTTGTAAATTCAGAAACAGAATAAGAAAATCAATAAATTTGCCCAGGGCCCCTCAGGTTGTAAATGGAAAACCCCCAAAGAAACCCAAACCTCAGGGACTACACCTAAACGGAGAATGATATAAGAAAATAAATAAATTTTAAAAAATACCAAAAGCCAAACCTGTTAAACTGCAAACTTTTGCCTTTACATATCACAACTTCTGTACACTTGCAGTCACCTGAAAGGCCTGTTTCATTTGTTTAGTACATGCAAACACAGGCTTGATCCTGGGAGATTCCAAGGGAACTATCCACATGTTCCTCATCCCCTCCAGTGTCATTATACAGTCACTTGTTCTCCCTCAGAAGGAAGTCACTGGGATTAGCAGGTGACTATTGACTGTTGTTCCCAAGCATATTCCACTAAGATGTTTTTGCCCCCTTTTCAAAGTCTACTTACTTCAACCAAGGACATCATCATATATATTATAAATTATTGGCAACTTTCCTATTTAAAAATCCCAGCTGATTGGAGATTGCATTTGCTTGAAGTTTCATGTTTTTATTAGGGAACACAGAGGTATGTCAGTAAGCTAAGAGCTATGATTGGGTGTCCCCCAAGACCAAAATTTTGACCCTGAAGAGATGTATTAAAACAGACAAGCTGACACCCCTTTTGGAATTACTTTCTGAACCTATCTGAGGGCTCTGTGTATTCCTTGCCTTGTTCAAGTAAGTTTTGCTGACTTGGAGCCCAGAACTTTTTGAACTTTGCAATAATGCACCCTATACATCCCTTTGGTGGGGGGCTTGTGGCAGTGTGGGTTATAGTAACTACTGCCAAGATTGGGTTTCATAGGATGAAAGGAGAGTGAAATATTTGACTGACCTCTTCCTGTCAAGGGAGGGGAGTCCTGATTTTGTTAAGCATGAGGATATTTCACAAACTAAACATTTCCTATGCCTAATTGATAGGCATTTTGGCCAAATTAAAAAAAACAAACAAACAAACAAAAAAAAACTTTCAAACATGACTCAGCAAAGGATACACACCAGACATGCTCCATTCAACTCTTTGGTCATCTCCCTATGATGACACCCTATCTTCTTCATCCTCATTTCAGTGATGCTCATTCACGCAGTGATGGTCTTGGATCCCGAAGCACAGCCAGTGCTGACATTTTTACCCTCTTTGTTCTCTAGCACTTTGAAAAACAATTGTATCATGACCAGACTTAGACATGAGTAGACATGTAGAATCACTGATTTTTTGCTTTGTAGAACTATAAAACTGACCCACAGACTATCTGAATATTTGGTCAGGACTGTGCTGTGATCTTTAGGACCAGCCATTAGCAGAATCACAGGCTTTGTTTTCCTGGCCCCCCAGCAACTAAACACCAGACCTGAGGTGAAAGAGTCTACTGAAACAACTATTTTTTGATGCATAAAATACCTCTTATTTTAGTTCCAGACATATCCATTAAGAAAAATAAAATCAATCCAGTTAGTTTGAAGGGATAGATCAAATGCAAAGACAAGAGTCTTACTCCTTGGCACAGGGGCAAGAGTTAGAAGATGTTCATGCTACAAGTAGACCTCCAGAGTCCATGAACCCACACCCCATTCTCCAACCACTAACACATACTTACTGCCTCTCAGCATCTTCTGTAAGTCTCAAGCTACAGATGGCCTTTACCATGGGTAATACACGTAGCACACTCAGCCTCACATGGTGGTATGAGAGTCTAGGCCTTATACACCATACAGCTTATCAACCTCCAAAGGACCAGAACTTCTCTGGTATGACTTTGTGGTTCACACAACACCTCGCATAGCTGCAGGCACCTAGGGCACCTCCCAACAAGGCAGGTGTATGAGTGAATGTGTGAGTAAATGAAGAATGCCCTCATCATAACAGTACAGTGACTTCACAAGGGTGTTGTGTATACAGGGCTCTTAACTGGACAGGCACAATCATCTGAATAGATTCTGAACACTTTCATTAAGGTCACCTTGGAAAGCATGGAGATTATGGAATGTGTGAGCTAAATGGCAAGTGAAAAACAACAAATTGCAAAGCTGTTCTTTCCAGGGATGCTCAGGAATAATACTATTTTGCTCATAAAGAAAATTTGACTCACCTGCTGTATCCTTGGACCAATTTTCATCCTCATCAAAGTGAGTATCTCCACCTAGGCCCTGACCTGGAGGAAAGGCATGGCCAAGGACTCCCAAGGGGCCATCAAAATAACGAGGACACCAACCATGGACTGGAAGATAATGAATGAGGGTAAAATGATCAGTCTCTTCAAATCTCCTGAGATGAAAATAACCTACTTTTATTTCTGTTAAAATATTACCTCGGGTCCTAAAGGCAATCATGATGTCTGCAACCCCCTTGGAAATCTTGGTGAATGTTAGGGGAGTAACTTTGCTCCATACTTCCAAGCCTTTTTGGATAGCTTCATCCACATCAGCTTGTGCCATGTCTGGGGTATAATTCACAATCCTTAAAAATGAACAGAAATATATTAATTGCATGTAGGATGCATATATATCCTACAAAAGTATAATTTCTACCTTATCAGCCATACTCTGTGTAGTATGGTACTGTTTTTACATTTGCATGATACTTAACTATGTAAATAAGGTACTAATGTATGTTATGTACTTCAGCTTTCTTATCCAACAAGTCTGACTCTTACAAATGGGACTCAAAGAGATTAAATGGCTTCCCTGCAATCATATGTAAATGGGAGAGTGTTTATCTCATGTGTTCGCTGAATTTGTGAGTGTATTACATATATATATATACATATATATAAATGAACTGAGATTTATTTTCTCAAATTTTGGAAACCAAATTTAGGCATATATCTCAATTGAGAACCAGAAAGAATTAGTTACACAGAAAAAGATTTTCCTTTTGTTTATATCCTGTATCTTACTAAACATTTTCTTTTTTTGAATCTCAGTTCCTTTTCTTCAGGAAACCTATAAGAAAGGTTCTTTAGGGTGGAGGACTATTAGGTGGTGGTCAAGGTCACTACCTCTGTCTCAGGTCAGGGCACACTGCAGTCTTGTTCCACCCATTAGGCACCTCCCTTCTCTTTCAATGTCTGAAACAAAAACTACACGTCCCCTGGGGTCCATCTGTGAGTTGCCACCTGTAACTCACAGGTGTCTCTCACATGAACTGGCTTTGCTCCAGGGTCTTCCTTTTTCTCTCGAGCACATTTGATCTGGGCCTTCAAGCATGTGCCATGAGGGGGCAATGCTTATGCTCCATACCTATACACAGGTGGGTGGCCAAGGCTAGTGGTCAGAGTGTATCTGTCAGAGCCTGGCTGTGGAAAGAACATGCAACCTTGACTATAGTTGGCAGCCTTCTGTATTTAAGGTGGCAATTTCAGAGGTGCCTACATCATAGTGTCTACATCATAGGTTGGAATATAGGATATCCATGAAGTGCCAGGCATATAGGAAGTGCTTGTCAAAGTGAATTGTTTTTATTTTTGTTCCCTAGAGTGTATATTCATGTTCTTTTGGGTTAGAGGGAAATATGTTGGCACCAGCATTACCTGTATGTGAGGTTGTACGTTCTCCACCCTGGGAGAGTGTAGCCATACTGACCCACATCAGGTACCCCACACCTGGGGATTTTCATGATCTCAAGAGTGCTAGAGTCCAGTCTTCCTGTCACTGTCAATCCAAAAAATGCTTGCATTTCCCGAATTTTGCCATCTATGAGGCTCCTGTTCTTGCTTTGAACCATGTGGCTTCCTTCCAGATCAAGAGAGTAGAACTGGTTGAGATAGGCCTGACCAAAAAGACCAAAAAAGCATAGACTACAGGAGATAAAATATCCATTTCAAGATAAAACAAAATTGTCTGAAAACCTTTTTGGCTATAGGTGAAAAGGAAAGGAAATAAGGAGGGAAGCAAAGAAAGAGAGATGAAAGAAGAAACAAAGGAAGCAAAGAAGAAAGAAGAGTCACCCTGTTTTTTTCAGTTTTCAAGAAGTGGTTGAACCATGTGTGACCACAGTTGGCCTAAGCACAGTTTGGGCCACAGAAATCCAAGCCCTGGGGAGAGAGTCAGGCTGCTGCGTGTCATATGATCACATCTTACATACTTCTGCTGTTATTTTTATTTTGGTGTTTCCTTGAAACAAATTCTAGAAGAGATCAATAAGTATTCATTTTGCAAATTTAATTGATTTGACCAAATAAAGAAAATTACTTAGACTGAGTTTTAGAGGGAATCTCCAAAGAAAGGTAACATTATGTTTCACACATGAAGGTATAAATTTCCGATTGCAGTTGGGTTCTCCTGGCTGGGTTTAGAGTGCTTTTACAGAGACTCCACTTGTTGCAGGGTGACCCTTCTGTCCTTCCCCCTCTGTCTTCATTTATGAACATTGCTAAAAGTTACAGCAAATCCTGCCACCCCTCTCCCTGCACCACCCCTCACACAGTTCCTGAAATCCTTAGAGCTTGGAGAATGAAAGACAACTCCTTTTCCCAAGAAAATCCAGGACTCAGAATTTTCAGGAATTTTAGGAATTAAGTCCTAACACAATCAATAAAGTGAACTTTTATGTAGCCATTAGTAATGTTTATTGACACAGTACCTGAGCCAGTTGTATGTTTTCTTCATTTTCTGTCTTTCGGTTTGTAGGAAATGCAGAAGAAAATGTTATAAAGAGCAAAAACAGAAGCAGTAATCTCTTCATTTCTCTTTCTTTATCTGGAGGCTGGTTCTTTTTGCACAGAATTTAGAGAATAATAGTGAGACGTGGCATGAATTGGCTTTTGTATCATTGTTTAATTAATAACAGAATAGGACATTTGCATGAAGTGTTTCGTGATAGACTTTTTTTCTTAGGTTAACTGGATTTTGCAATCATGGTCTGCATTTGGTTAGTCAACACATTTGTTGTTTATTACAGTCTCCCTTTGGTCAAGAAGGAGGATGGTCCCAAAAAGCTGTACCTTAGAGCCTGCCTAGATGTGTGTGGACTGTACCATTTAGGTTTGTGTGATCTCACTTAAGGGCTTTTGCACAATGACAAAATTGCCTCTTGATGTACTCCTCATAATAGATCCCTCCCGACTTACTGAGTTGAATATAAAATGAAGTCCTTCTTCAAATTACTTTTGTCCTTGCAGTTGGAGGTTTTCCTAAGCATATGTTCTTGAATGTTTACACAGTAATTTTATTTGAACAAAACTCCAAAATATGTTGGGTAGCCTGATATGTCATGAAAACAAAATTGAATAAGCAACAGATTTTCCTTATTAACAAGGGCAAACACTTTAGTGTCACTTTTATTCAGATATGAGCAAGGTACCATTCCAATCTTGTTGGAGGACTCAGACACACAGAAACTATTATCAGACAAAATGGGAACAAAGTGGGAAAATATACAATGAAGATTCTAGAGAGCGAGGAGGCCATAGGTAGAGAGATGCATGCAGCACACTGGAAATGAGATATAGGAAATCTGGCTGAGCAAATACATGCACCTTGCTGTTTTCTTCTACCATTTGTTTAAATCCCCTTACCTGTCTTTTCACAAATTAAACTTGTTTATTCATCAGTCTTTCCAAATATTCTTATGTCTATCCTCAATAAAATTTCTGTGATATAATCAAGGTACTTACTATAAACCTTAGGTTAGATATACTTCCTTTGCATGTAAAACTTACCCCAATAATAAATCCTCTTTAGGAAATACTATTTATTGACTTACTGAACATGTGGCTTAGTGTTAAAATATACTTGGTCTCTGGGGAGAAAAGAATAGTGCAGACATGAAAAGATTTGCCTTACAGAAGTAATAACAGTAATGATTTATTTTTCTAAGCTGGGTGCAACTACAAGTGTGTTCATTATATTACTCTGCTTTTTTTTTTAATTCTAAAATACTTCTGAGGAAATGGTGAAAATAACAGAGCTAACTCCTCCCTTCCAAAAAGAGAAAAATCAAATGATAGCTGTTTATAATGCAAAACAGCTTTGCTCTGCCACATTCCATGCCTTTTAAGTCTTCCTTACCAGGGAGAAGCTCTTTAAACTTTTTATAACTTTTTTTATGATGCTTAATTTTGCACTTATAAATACTATACTTTTCCTACTCCTTGTTGACTTTTCAGTGTTAACTGTTAATATCATTTGTCTATAGAAAGGAATAGCACCTGCCTGTTATATTTTCCTAAGTTTTTAGAAGTCAGCAATTGGTATTCATGCACTTGTGACTATGGAAATATTCTCAAGAGAGCCTTGGAGTGTGCTGTGATCTCATCTCCTTTCTTGTACACCAACTTCAGCTCCCCGCCCCCTGACTTTGAAGCTCATAGTGTAGTTTTATTTGCTAATTTCTGCCATTTCTTCAATAGTCTCAAATTTATCCAACATAGTAGGAAAGCTAACAATACCATTTTTCTTAAAGTCATGTCTCTTTTTTCCCCTGTTCTCTTTCTCTCTTTGGAATACATCTCTGTTGGACCTCCTAGATTGAATCTCTGGGTTTCTAATATATCTCTTATGTGTCTAATTTCTAAGGGTTCTTTCACATTCTCTGAATATCTTTTAGTTTTTTTGGCTAAATTTCATCTTGCTTCCATGATTATTTGAAGTACCTTTTTTGATGTCTTTCCCATTAGGAGATTTCTTTCAAAAGTTTGGAGACATTTTGCTCTGTAGTATGTTTGAGAACCAGTTGAAAAATCTGACTAGGAGCAGTGTGTGCCTGGGTAGACTTGCTGATGGGTAACTTCATTGTGGGGCTTTGGGGTGGGTCCCTGACACTTAATATAATAAAGTGTCAATGAGATTTGAATATAATAGAAGAACATCAAGTAACAGATGAACAAAACAATAGAAATATTTCTCCCTCAATACAATGCAAGTCCAGATTTGTTAGCCCAGGGCTCGTGCAACAGCAACATGTCATCACAGGTGCAGACTGCTTTTCCCCTGTTCTCCCACCTCCACTCAGTGTGATCCTCATGGCTCAGGTCACTTCTCAGCTTCAGTAAAGATTGTATTTGCTCCTAGGCAGCAGGAAAGAGGATGCAGAGAAGGTAAATTCCCAGTCTTTTTCTAGAAGCCCAGGTCATATTCTACTTACACACTTGGCAGTACATTTCTAAACTTAGGGCCATAGCTAGCTGTAAGGGAGGTTGCATAATATAATGGTTACATTGCTACATCAATGAGATCGTTGCAGAAGAGGGAGAATGCTTCTAAGATAGGCAGATAGCGGCTACTGCCACACTGAGATTTCAAACTCAGTATGGGTATCTGTACATCTTTTTTTGGGGGGGGGTGGTTGGTAAGTTTCTCAAAAGAAGATTTCTCCAGTTTTCCATTATTTTAATCTCCCAGCAACAGATAAAAGAAGTGCCTGTGGTGTTCTCTGGTCCCCTCCCTCCGAATACCTCTGATTGTGGATGCTGGTGATGGACAGGTGTGTGTGACTCACAAATCCAACAAGCACATACTGCATATTATTTTTCTTTCTGCTTAGGGTAATGAGATGCCAGAGTCACTCAGTGCAGGAGGATGGAGGAGGTTGTTCCAAACTTTTATTCCCTGATGACTGAGCAATTGTGAAAGGTTTTATAGGCTGTCCAGGAGATCTGGGTGGAATTGAGTCTCAGTTGCCCAGAGCAGACTCAATACCACACCCTTATCATCTCTTTGTTCCCTGTCTCCCTATGCTTTTTTCCTAGGACCCTGTCTCCAATAAAATAACCATACCAAAGTCTTGATTTAGACTGTGCTTTTAAAGAAACTCCAAAATAAAAAGTAATTTGTTTAAATTCTGAGCGTAGATTCCAACATCTCTTGTACGCCCATAAAACTTTAGTGTGACAGACAGAAAGTATGCATGAAGAGGAGAACTTTTAAATAAGATAAATTTTTGAATTATTTCACTTTGTTGTCACTCTTTGGGCTCTTTGAGATATGGCTAAAGAAAGAACATGAACTCAGTTCTCATCTCAGAAATGTACAAATGAGGTTTGGGCCAGAACAACTTACAGTTGTTCTGAGAAGATGAATTTTTGTGTCTGTACAAGTTGGTGTTACAAAAGGCTTTAGAAAATAAGGCATTTATTCCGCTGTTAAAAGGAAATACTCATGTTTTTGCAGGGCCTCTGGCACTTGCTGCATTGATATAGTGGATGATTTACACATCTCCCTGACACTCCAACATCACACCTGGGACTTGTAGGCAGTTCATTCTTGTCGAATAAATGAACAAGTGCATAGTATACATAGTTTGTTTTCACATGTTGTAAAATAAGATATTTCAGGGAATGTTTAAGAGGACTGAATATTCATAAGATATTTCATGAACTGTGAAACAGTATATAACAGCGTAATGGGATATAATTTTGACAGGGTACAGGTCACTACAAATGTGTCAAAATTCACTATTCCTTTTTATACCTCAAATAAATTTCCTGGTGGTATTGTCAGAAATTATAAGTAGACATATCAATTGTTAAAAAATCAAATTTTTCTTTGAACTCATGTAATAGGTAATTTAAAAACCATAATAAGCTACCCATTTATATACTTAAATACTTTAACAGAAAAAGAAAATTGCATGTGCTAGTGAGAAATATATTTCATAATACTCATTTATTGTGTCATCAGCTGCATTTACATTCAACAATTGCAAATATGACATAATAATTTTGATGTTGGACTAGCCATTATGGTCCCCAAAGCCCTATAGTTCATAACAGAAAAAAGTCATTAGGAAATATATTCATCTACACTTGGTTTAATTAAATTTAATGAGATTTGTTGAATTTCATGCCTGCCATTGCTCTTTGTGCAGCAACTGGTTATTATCTATAGTGTGCTCTCCCTACCTAGCCCTCCCCGCAAAGAATTCCAGATAAAAAGAAACTGGACACAAGACAAAATTAGCCTATTTGCTTGAACTCTAGACAGAAAAAGCAGGGAGAAGGCAGGAAAGCAAAGGGTATCCATTTTATTTGTCACTTCCCCAGGAAGATGCTGATAATTTGTACTTAGGGGAAGCAAATATTATCATTCTGTGTTGATACATTTTCTTAAGTGCTGATGTACTATATTAACTTCCTAGGGCTGCTGTAACAAAGTGCCATAAACTTGGTAGCTCAAAAAAAAAAGAGAAATGTGTTCTGTTGCCATTCTGATAGGTAGAAGCCCAAAGTCAAGGTTGACACTCAAGAGGGTTGTGCTCTTCTCTCTGGGTGGAAATCCCCTCTGGCCATTCCTAGCAACTGGCAGTTGCCAGTCAGCCTTGGCATGTAGCTCCCTCTCTCCAGCTCTGCCTTTGTGGTCACGTGGTCTTCTCCACTGTGCTGCGTCTCTCCTCTTCTTGATAGGGCACCAATTCTTAGGCATGTCCAAAAGCACTATAACCACATTTTAGCTTATTACTTATGCAAAGACTCTAGTCCAAATGAGGTGCATTCACAGGTACCTATTTTTGGGGGTTAAGGGGGCACACAACTCCATCTACAGAATGTGTCAACACCATTTCTTCCCCAGAGTGGAAGATAGCACCCATTTTCTGTAAAGTTAGGGGATGCGGTCTGTGTTGTTCATAATCCTTACTTCTCACCAGTGCCCAGTACTCAATAGCATGTGGCAGATACACCCAAGACATGGTTGCAGAGATTCAGGAATATTTGAGCATTTTAACAGTCAGAAAAATAGGTAATGAAATAGTGAATATTGAGATAACAGAAAAGGCTTAAGTCCTTTCTCATTGGGATGGTGCTCACCACCTATTTCATTCCATATCAGCTGATTATAATAACCAGGCAAGTTGATGAATGCAAAGCGAATACACGGAAGTAAATGACATTGAGGACCTGGATTTATTAAGCATTCTTTCAATTAAAGTTGATGTTTCCAAAAACTTATGAATGATGTTAAGTGAGCACTTATTGTTGATAAAACTAAATCAGCTTTTACAAATAGTGGAATATTCCAAATGTATATTTTCAGCAGGACAGGCCCAATAAATACAGTGACAATTATTTATAGTTTAGAAAAGTATAACTAGGATCTAATGTAACAGATAAGTGAATTAGACTTCCCTTCTATATTCAGAAAGTGTGTGCAAACATATTTTGATCTTGCATCAACTTTATCTACAGTTAAGCCACCTATTGCTTCTGTCAACCCTGGTCACAGTGCGAGTGTTAAAATTAAATGCGTAGTATCTTGGTCCACTGAAGAAGAGGAAGAAGCCTATAAAAAAATAGGAGGTAAGTTGAATTAGCTTGAGAACACAGACCTCATGTTTAAAATGAAGAAACCTATACTTCTGTCTAGGTATAACATTGAAATGCAAATGTGCAATTAAAAATTATTGATAGGTTTATTCTACTTACCATCCTTCTGGAAAACTGCATCAATATTATTTTCAACTCCATGAAAGGTACTTGCTATGCTTTTGGGGTAGCCTGGATCCATGTATTCTTTTTGGTTATCATATCTGATAAGAAAATGAATGTAGTATAGACCAATATAGTATAGAATGATAATGATTTCATTAAATTGCATGTACTTTACAAAGTGCCCTCATACAAACTTTCTCATTCTGTACTAACAATGACCTATTTACTGGGACTGAGAATGGATACTTCTCTACCTCTAGGGTGATAGTGTCCATGTGGTGAGTGCCTTACTGTTGTCAGGGAGGCCACAGGCATGACCTGACTTCACTACCTTTTTTCCTCTGTAACGTCTACTAGGTATCATTACTGCTAGAATAATCTCCTGATTGATTGTAGAGTGCTGTTTTTTAAAAAATGAAGAGCTTATATTTTCTAAGCCTTTAACTTAATTAGTAATGGTCTTTCTCTTTCTCTGAATAAATGTAAATAAGTCAACTTGGACATTAAATTCCAGTGCTCATCTGGATAACATTTGCTTGACTGTATTAGAATTGAATTTATTATAATTAGCCCCTTTGCATTCCTCCCTAGTTTTTATTCATGACAGGGAATATTAACACCATTGCGCAGTTATTTTAATGGTTTAAAAATAAATTTTCAAAATTCATGACAAATCATTCATTCTGTGACCTATTAAGGTCCATTCAAAGTGTTAAAACCTTCAGATGCCTTATCATTAGTGGTTTATACACAGGGTAAAGAAGTGGATTTCAGTCTTCACTTGAAAAAATAGTTTTCCTTACCTCCAGAATTGGTCTTTTACAAAGAAGTATGTTTTCTCCATGTAGGAAACAGCAGCATCGATTGCTAGGACACTGCGTGGGAAGCCAAAGTTTGATATGTCCTTGGGATAACCTTGCACAATGTCATAGCCATTCAGAGCCCAGTATTGTCTTCCTGCCAGTGATTAAAGTTCTGTGTTAGATCAATTCCTCCCATTCCTACAAAATCTATACCACTTCTGAGTTTGGGCACAAATGCATCGTAGCAATGGAACAATGGAACAAAAACAATGGCAAATTAAAGTTCATGAGGTTCTGAGAGCACTAGTGGGTATCCACCTCTGTAAAAATTCAAACCTCTTGGGCTAACATTCATGGCCCCACAGATAGATGTCATGTCTTAATATGACTTATATCCAGAGCATAAATTACAGCGTTGGGGTATCTTAGAAATATTTTAACTGAGAAGAGGATGAAGGGACATCAAAGGAGGTCTAGTAAGAATTACTTATGTTGTAACTGAGAAAACTGAGACCTGAAGAGAGCTATAACCTGCTCAGGTTCACACCGTATCATAGACAGAGAAAGGACCCACTCAGGTCTCCTGACACAAGCCAGGTTGACACTCGCCTGCTTGCCTCTGTGAACCTCAAAGAGAGCACAAAGGGCAGCACCCCCTCCCTTCAGGCAGAATTCAAATGAATTCTATTCTATTTTTAAAGTTACCTTTAAATAGGAAAACAAGGTCCCTGCTCACAACCTCGTAGGCAGCCTGTATACCGCTTGGCAGGGATGGCCAGAAGAGAGAAATGAAATTTTGTTCAACCATTTGTAGCTGAGGATGCCTTCTCCAGAAGTATCTAAAGGAACCAAACCACACATATACCTCAGTATAAGCAGGAAGCTTCTGTGGGTCCTGGGCTAGAATTGCCGGGAGGATGGGTCAGTATAGTGAATGTGGACTTTCTAGCATAGTGACCAGCACTAGTGCTTTGGGTGATACTCTTCCATGTGGTGAGTGTCTCACTGTTGTTAGGGGAGGCCACAGGTATGACCTGGCTTGACTACATTTTATACTGTGCTCCTCCTCAACATTGACAAATTTTATCTTGTTTGTTTCTCCATTACCATTTATACAAAATGATGAGACTATTTTGAATATTCCCACAAATACAATACAAGTACACTCAGCCTGAGATAACACAATCACAAAGTACTCATTGGGAAAATGAAAAATTTTCGTTAGATGATTTCCCCTGCAGCTGGTTCAGTAATAGTTTCGATTGACTTGACTGAATTAGGGTGGAACTGAACAACATTTTTGGTGTTAGGTAAACTCAACTCTGGAGTCTCCAGCCAGATAGAGCTCATTGTCATTTGCATCACAAACATCTGAACGCTTGTAATATTTTAGCTTTTTGGGTTTTTTTTCCTACATGTTTTGAGTTGTAAATTCCAGTGGGATGCATTTGTGTAGAATTCAAAGAAAAAGCTGAGTAATGTGTAATATGGGACTTAATTAGAACCCAATTTTAAGTTATATCCATAAAAGTAGTTAAAGTAAGGAGTAGTTCTGTGTTATACTTGTCTTTAAAGAAAAATATTTCTCCACGAAGTGTGGTGATAGCATCAAAGGTCAGTCTGGGGTCACAGGCTGAAGGTGTGCTTGGTCCAGTTGGTTGCACACGGTTGTTTGTAGGTCCTGGGGAAAGAGAAAGCCTTTTATAGATGAAATTTTGCCATTTTCAGTAATGTAGATGAAACTGGAGGGGAGGATGCTAACTGAAATAAGTCAGGAGGACAAATCAGGTGATTTCACTTGTATGGAATACAAAAAAAGCAAAACAAAGAAACAGACAAAACCAAGCCAAAACAAAACCTAGAAATTTTACTGCAGAATTGAGGCTATGAGAGGAAGAAGGTAGGTGTGGGGAGCAAAGAGGGAAGGGTGCTCATGAACTGTAGTGGACTATGGGTAACTTGCTAGTGGGTGTAGTGGGGAGACATCCACTGTACCTCGGAATCATATACAGTGTTCAAAACATTGTACCACAATAAAAAATACAAAAAGAAACTCCTCCAAAACAAAGTGTAGCATGTGCACAGACACACATGCACACATACACACCCACACGTTTTTCTATAGGTAAAAATCCAGTGTAATGGTTAGTATATTCACATACTTCTCAGGATGGGAAAGGGTCTTTACTTGAATAGAGGTTCTACCATATGGCTTTAGAGTGTGCATTTAAAACAATCTTAAAGTTGTTTTCTGAAGTAAGAATAATGATGATTTTCAGAGGCAGTTCCAGGTTAAGTTCTTAAGTAAATAAAATTGAATTCTGTGCTTCCTCTGCCTTTCAAATCCTGATTCCATACTCTTCCCAGTTCTTGGTTCCTCTTTCTGAGTTTGATCACCAACATCCACTTTCTCCTTCAAACCCACCTTCAGGGAAGAAGCTGATATCAGTCTTTTGTCCACTGCTAAATCAAAGTCAATTTTTAGGAATACTTCTGGAAGTATTTGCATTTTAGTGTGTTTTCTTATTATAAGATGAAGGGTTATACTGGCAGTTTAGACAACTTAAAACATGGTGAGCAGGGGAAGGAAGTGTTTTCTAGGGGAAAGGAGATGGGCATAGAGACAAGTGGAGTAGGTCTGGCCATTTCTGCAAATTCTGTTGTCATGAGAACACATCGAGCCCTGGGTTACTTAGTTTTGTGATGCTCCCATGGGGCAGGAAGAATGCTTTCCCACCTTTACTCTGCTCTACTCAGCACTTCTAAGAGTCTCTAACCTCTTCTCTGCTTCCTCATTCTTCCTCATGGCCATGAGGGGTCATGAGGGCAAGAAAGAGCAGAGACCTAGGATCTTACTCACACCATATTTAGAGCAAACTGTAGATAGAAAGACCCCTATGTCCCATCACAAAAAGTATCAGTCATGTCTTTTAAAAATGTTTTTTCACTCTTTGCTCCATCTCCATTTGTATCCTTGCCCCAGTAGCTAACAATTTTAGTATGTTCAGTAGTCATCTTACTCATCTTGTAGACATATTTCTTGAAAATTCCTTTGCTTTATCTTCATTTATATTTATTATTATTTTCTTGTATACATTTTAAATTTATGGTGATTGTTCTCTTGCATAATTGATGACTTGTATATCTATTATTTCATTTCCTTCTCATGAAGCACGATATTTTGAAGACTCCTCTATGATTTTGCCTTGTGTTCATCTATTTGCTATTTCTACTGCTTCATGCAACTCTGGGGCTGCACCCACCATCTGTTACCTGTATGTTCTCCTCCTGAGAGACTTGGCTTCCCTCCACCTTGTATCACCACAGACAAGGCTGTAACGAACACCTTGCCGTGACTTGCATATGTCCCCTTGTAGACCTATGTGAGAATTTCCTTGGGAAATACATCTAGGATTGCTGTATGAAAAGGGGTAGATATGTCTTTTTAAACATATATAAACTTTGAAAAGCATTCTAAAAGGGAATAAAAACCACCACCATCCCAGTCCATGGTTGTCCATGGTTCATTTCTCTCTGACCTTTCTCTAAGGGCAGCAGCAGAGACTCAGCTCCCAGACTCTTCTGGTAACATTGTACTAGGGACAAGCAACCTGCAGAAGTCAGTTAGCACTTTCCCAGGAGACAAGCCTGAGAGAGGTGCAGAGGGAGAGGTGCTCAGTTCCCCAAACCTGCTCCCAGGTCCCTCCATGATCTTCTGGTGTCCTTACCATAGATGGCCTGAATGCCATTGATGTCATCTTGCGGGAGCACAAAGGTGCTGGGATCACTGAAAGCGTAGTTGGGATACATCAAGGCACCAGGGTCAGAGGAATGAGAAAGCCCCAAGGAATGGCCAAATTCATGGGCAGCCACCAGGAACAAGTTGTAATCTGAAAGGAAAGTGTGCATGATAAATGGCTTCAAATTGGTCCAAAAGTCCATATGGGCCACATGCATTGCCATTCCAGAACCAACAAGTAGTCCATAATCCCTTTCCAGTCTCCCTTCAGGTACTTGAAGAAAGGAGATTAGATGGAATCAAGCCAGGAGCTATAGACTGGTATTCTTCATCAAATCTGAGAACCAGGAGAGCTGCCTTTATTGTATTCCCACACTTCATGGATTTGGACCAGAGCTTAAGACATGGTGGCACAGCCAGCGCAGCTCTCATGGCATGCAGAAGCCCCCATACCTGCCCCTTTCCAGTCTCTAGGACCTTAACTTTATTAGTCAAGTCCCAGTAAGCAGATGGGAAAGAAACCTGACCCCTGTGGGACTCATTTGCTTGGCCACATGCCAGTTTATCTGGATTCTGATCTCTCCAAGTAGCTCTAAGAATTCTGCCCAAGGAGACAGCTGGTTCCTCTCACTGCTCTCTCCTCCTTGTAGCTTCCTGGAGCTTCATGCCTCATGACTTGGAACTACAGGGCTTCCAAAGCTTCTCTTCCTGTCACAGGAAGTCCCAAATCCTCCCCTGGCCTTCAAGGCCCCCTCAGTGGGCTGCAGCAGGTACCTGGGATTTGAGTTCTGATACAAATCCTTCAATCCCTCCAGTTGCCAGTCTACTTACCGTCTCACAAACATTTCATTTTCCTACATACCTACTTTGGTTATAGTCATAGTTGCAGAGTAGCCCTGGTAGGCTAGACTGTGCAACATTATTTAATTCTCCCAACATTTTAATGAAGTACTGTTAGAAATGCTTTTGCAATAAAGGAATGAAAGCCCAGTGATTTTGAGTATCTTGTCACTGGTGTTGTGATAGTGAGTAGTGAGGGTTGAGCACCCAACTTCTTACTAGCACAGTCAAATTCCTGTGGGTCATTAGCCTATGCTCTGTGGACTAATTTCCTGGATCATCATATCATTCCAGTTTTGTATTCATGAGTAGATTTTAAGCAATCATAGTGCCTGGAATACTGTATGAGGTGCTCTGGGGGATTTATCATGGTGCATAGCGTGGAAGGGGATGAATGCACAGAACAATGAGGAGAGCAGTTTGACAAGGAGAAACAAAGGCTGTTGGGATTCTGAGGCTAGTGACCTCAATTCCAGTTGAAAATTAAGAGGGGCATGACATCTGACACAACATGGAAAGAGATTTTGAATGGTGGAGCTTAGGTAGGGGGAAGGGCATTTTAAGAAAGAGGAAATGATGTGAGCAAATATAAGGGATCTGGAAAGCACACCATGGATATAATCTAGGAAATGTGAAGATAGAGTGTGGCTTGTGTATGTGAAATATGTGGATGAACCATTAAAGATGGGGCTGGAAAAGATCATGCTTAGTGAGATAAACCAGAAAGAGAAAGAAAAATACTGGATGGTTTTGCTCATAGCAGGAGTATAATGGACCAGGTGAGAAAATAATAAGAATAATG